GAGAATTTGATGCTCATAACAGAAATTTTCCTCCCAGGTGTGTGTGGGGGAGGAAGCATTAGGAAAAACAGCTGGGAACTGGGCTAATAATCCTTTTCCCTCTTAACTGCTCGGGTTTGTTTTTAGTGATGGATGACAACATCCCCCTACTGTTCCAGTTGTCCACAGCATCCTCCAGCAATACAGAGAAGTGAAGACAAATGTGATACACTGTAGTGTGTGTGGGAATAAAAAAAGAAGAGATCCCTGCTATTTTTTTTTGTGGGTGGGGAGGGGGAACCATTCTGCTCTTCTGTGCATCATTTTAAAAAAGAAAGTGCCTCCCTTTCTTTGCTGCTTTTCTCTCTCTGCAGCAAAGAAAGGGAAATAGTTAATGCTACACACGGGACTGTGGGGCTCATGTGAATGGCTAGCATGCATTGTGCTTTGGAAGCCTACTCTAAGGTAACATGTATATTACCACAGAAAGTTGGCTTAAGCTATGCGGCTCTTAAGTCAAGTTACCGCGAGGTCTACAACAGGGGGTTGACAGGAGAAATTTTCACATTGACTTCCCTTACTCTTCTCGTCTGGGGTAGAGTGACAAGGTCAACAAGAGAGCAATTTGTGGTTGATTTGGCAGGTCTTGACGACACCCACTAAAACAACTGCTGATGGATTGATCTCAGAGCTTGGATCCAGGCTGTAGTGTAGATATAGCCTAAGAGCCAGTGCAACTTATTCCAAATAACCCTGGACACTTGAGAAGTGTGGAAGTTGGATTGCATCAGAAGCTGTAGCCTTGGAACTGGACTTCCAACACTCCAGTCGTCTGAAGATGTGGGTTGTGCCCACAAAAGCTCCCTTTACCATCTATGTGTTTTGTTAGTCTTTAAGGTGCTACTAGACTATTTGTTGTTTAAGTTTTTCCTTTTACAGACTAACTTGGCTACCCCTCTGAAACCTCTGGGATTGTAACTGTTCTTCAGGTTTTAGCTCCCAAATTGTGTTAGTGCATTGCCTCTTATGGCAGGATAACTATGTTGCTCAGAGGTGTGAAAACTCCAGCACTGTGTTAATGGGAGGGCTTCTCTCGTCCACATGGTTGCCACCTCTCAAGGAGGTGGTGTATCCATGCCACCAGGAAAAAAATCTTTCCTATCACGGAGGTAGCATTTTCACTAAGATGTACAATGGCACAACTACACCTATGCAGCTCTGTCACCAACTAAATGGGATTTTACATCCCTGCATGAAAGCTTAGGTTTTAATGACGGTCAGATCATCAAGCTGCCAGCTCTGTGGTACGAACAGGAATGGAACGTGTTTTCTTTTGTGGGATTGCTCATGTGAAGCTTTTTTTCATCCCTGATCCTAAAAATCTTCAGAGCTGAGCTCCTGCTGACAGGGCCGAGGCTAGTAAATAATCAGAAATGAAGGGAAGAGAAGGAACATGTCTCCTTTATAGCTGAGCCATAAATTGTAGTGGGAAGAGCTTGGGAGAGGAGGTGATGCCCTGGCACGGACTTGTGCATGAAAGATGGTTGCTACTTTATGCTGAATGAAGGAGTTTTAAAAAGCAAATGTGCGTATATTTTTGAAGCTGTTAGAAACCCATGTCTTGCTCACCCTGTCTTTGCCTAGCAGGCCAGCTGCCCGACTGAGAAATTAATACATTTATGATGGGCACAACATAATGAAAGTTGGTTTGAGTGGGCAAGAAGTTTTTAGGTTTTGTTGGCATCTGTTTAACAAGGATGCTTACCAGCTGGAAGGAAAGGCCTTTTGGTTACAGATTCAGCCCTCCATCCCTTTTACAAAGGCTGATCACACTCTTCAGTCCTAGTGCTGGGTGCTTTTCAATGGAGACTGATAGCAAAACGAGGGGTAGAGGGGTGGGGAACTTAGGCTGGATTGGATATTTCTGTGATTAGAAAAAGCCTTATGAGCTCTTGCAGAGCTGCATCCATCATGGAGTCTAGAAAGGAAGGATGATCTTGTTGGGATGCTGGGCTGAACTTGAGGAAACGGGGTTCAATTCCTGGCTTTGCTGCACTCTTCCTGTGTCACCTTGAGAATGTTGCCTAGGGCTTGTCTACATGATGGGGTAAGGCACCCTACGGGGTGTGATTTCTCAAGTACGCTAATGTAAGCTGCATTAATTAGCATGTGTCGAAGCTGCTGGTGCGCGCAGAAGGTTCCCAAGTATGCATTCACCTATTGTGAATACCAGCAAGGTGTACTCAAACCAGTTAAAGTGCAGTGCGTTACTTGTGGGCTTAGCAGTCCCACCCGCTCCAGGATGCACTGCTGCTCCATGTGGACAAGCCCTTAGGTCTCCATGCTTCTGTTCCCAGCTGGGGATGACATTTTTCTCCTATCTTTTGTCTTGGGTCTTGTAAACTCTTTAGGGGAGGGATTGTCTGTATAGTACCTATGGCAATGGCCTGACTTCAATTGGAACGGATAGGTGGTAGTGTCCTGCGAGTACTGAAAAGAAGCTACGAGCCCTTTTATTCGTTCATCTTTAGGTTTCCTTTAACTAGGGCGACCAGATAGCAAGTGTGAAAAAAACAGGATGCAGGTGGGAGGCAATAGATACCTACATTAAGAAAAAGCCCTGAGTATTGGGACAGTTCTTATAAAATCAAGACATCTTTCATGATAGAAAGCAAAGGGTTGGACTTTTAACCTTTGCTAAAATATACAGCAGAATAGCACCTGATTAAACAAAAAATCCTTTGCCCTCAGAAACAGGAATCAGCTAGAAGAGGTTAAGAACCCACTGTACATAATATGCCCAGTCCTCTCATCCTCCGGGTTAGCTTATCATTGTCTCCTATAATGTCTTCATTTTCTTTTGGGTTTTATCATGAAGGGGAATAGCTCTCTTTCCCAGGACTTGGAGGGTTTACCACCTCCATTTCTGTGGGAGGTGGAAGGAAAGAAACCGTCAGGTAAATAACCCAGAGGCAGTTAGTTAAATATAATCTTGGCATGGTTTGTTACACCCTTACTACCTGCTACACTCCCACTGTGGTGTTGAAAGCTGATTACTGAATGCTGGTGAATTCATTAAAATCCTGCAATAACATTGCTGAACGTTCACACTCAGAGCCAAATGTTTCCCCCCTGCAGAGCTGAGCTGCTTCTTATACCTCAGGAAAATGTCATTGTGATCCTCGGTCTCTATAAAGCTTTGGAAATAAATTGATCAGGAGGGAATTTTAACTGATTCAAAATGCGTTTCCTGGCTCTCCTCTTCCCCTTTGTGCTGACGTCATCGAGACTTCTCCCTGGAGCAAGGCTTTCATTGGTTATTCATCAACGCCTCTGTGGCTTAAGATTCACCTCTGCCTGTAACGCACATTAGTTTTCCTCTCCTCTTCTACATTGTTTTAAGTGAGTTACATTCCAGTGCAGCTAGATCCAAACATGAAATAGCCTTGCATCTCCGTGTTCCATAGCCAGCTGCTCCAGAGACCGGGTAATAGAGCAGGCTTAATAGCCAGAGACCCCAGGGTTGTTGCTACACTTCAAAGATGAAAGGGCTGTGGGGGGCACGAGGCCAGTGGGGGACTCAAGCAGTCCCCCGCTGGCCCCATGTTCCCCGTGGCATTTCAAAGCAGCAGCACCGCATGGAGTCCGGGGTCCCTGGACTCCACGTGGTGCTGCTGCTTTGAAATGCTGGGGCCAGCTGGGGACTTCCAGCTAGTCCTGGGCTGCACATGGCATTTTAAAGTGGCAGCGCCACATGGAGCCTGCACCACCTCCTTTCCCTCTCCTTGCTGCTTCTTTCAGATAGAAACAGCAAGGGGGTGGGGAGCGACTGGTCAACTACCTGAGGGCAGACTCAGGAGAGAACCCGTAGGGATTTCTCTGTGGTTTTTAGTTCGGGGTTTCTCTGGCTCTGAGAGTTCAAACTGTAAAGAGTTGAAAAATCTTCACATAAGCTATTTGTATTTCCATCTTCAAGCATTCAAAGTGATGTGGGATGAAGCCTTCTGCATATACTGCTCCATGGGTGCAATTGAGCCATTAACCAATCCTTTGTATTGGGATGTTTCTTGATGGCCCATCCTTTCCTTCTGCAGTATTCCCCCGTCCCCACAGAGCACAGTGGTCTGCGCCCTCTCCCCAAGTAGCCTGTAGCCTTCCCTCACCTGTGGTTAGTCCGGGTCAGCTGACTTGGACTTGTGGTGCTTGGGCTGCAGGGTGGTAAAATTTCTGGGAAGCTGTTTGGATCCAGTCTGAGCCCAAACATCTACAGAGCAAGTTTTTAGCCCCGCAGCCGGAGTCAGCTGATCCATATGAGTGGCTCTTTTATTCCAGTGTCGATCTGCCCTGGCCAGATCTGGATGCTGCAGGGAATGGTCCAAGGACATGGGCCTTGTCGTGTGCCTATCAGTAGCCTGCACATCTGTGGAGACCTGGGAGGCAATGGTTTTGCGGCCACAGGCTGCTGGTTTCAGGGAGCCGAGCCATGGCAAGTGCAGAGCAGACTGTTTCACACTTGGGGCAAGAAATGATGAGGGGCTGCACAACCTTGCGAGTCCCTGGAGAGTATCTCACATGCTCCTTTCCTCCTCCCTCTGCAGCAGCACCACTGTCCCGAGAGCACCGCTCCAAGACAGACATGCTAGGAAGCTCCCCTGCGGGAACCCCGTGTTCATTGTGCCCAGTCTGCCCTGTGCAGACAGCTCCCTGTGGCGTTGACAAGAAAGCCCAGGGGTTACAGTTGCTGAGGTCCCCAACCTCTTGCATGCAGAGTGGAAAGGTGGATGTTTAGATATTGGGGTCTGGCCCTTTCCACATGGACCACACTATGTGCAGGGTCCCAGTGAAGATCCTCACACTATTTGAGCATGTGAATGCCCTTCCATGGCTGAGAATGTAAGAGGGGTTATTTAATTCCCAGATCGTTCACTGTCATGTGTGTGGTCTCCTTGAGGCACTCTACTTGAGGGACTTCCGTGCGGCTTGTCAGATTGACCTTGTCCTGTCTTCCTTTTAATCTGCAGATGTTCCGCAGGGTTTATAAAGGGATCCCCCTGCAGGTGCGAGGCCCGGTCTGGTCCTTCCTACTAGACATTGAGAAGATGAAGACTGAGAATGAAGGAAAATATGAGGTATGATGCCTTCAAAGCAGTGGTCATAACGGTGTGGGGAGGCAGAAGGAGGTAAATCTGTGGCTGGTCTGCTGGGATTCTGGGACAGTGAGGGTACGTCTAGACTACATGCCTCTGTCGCCAGAGGCATGTAGATTAGGCTACCAGGCATAGGAAAATGAAGCAGCGATTTAAATAATCGCCGCTTCATTTAAATTTACACGGCTGCCGCGCTGAGCCGACAAACAGCTGATCAGCTGTTTGTCGGCTCACCGCGGTAGTCTGGACACGTGGGTGCTAACATCAAAGGCATTTGTCAACCACCCAGGTATACCTCATCCCAGGAGGCTTACCTGGGTGGTCAACAAATGCCTTTGA